TGTCACCCAGGGGGCTACTGCCAGCTCTGAACGAGCTTGCTCAAAGAACTGGCTCGACAGATCTTTGGTAGCAACACCCTGCTCAGAAATGTATCAGCAGGGAGCCCAAGGTGAAAACCAGGGCCTAAACCAACCCAGAGAAATGGAACAAGGCTGACAGTGCGTAACCCTTACCATACAGGGTTTTAGAAAGTGCGCAGAATGCTTAGCATGCACACTTACCACAATGTGGATTTTAGAAAGTGCACAGAAGCACAGCGTGTGCACTTACCATAGCATGGATTTAGAAACACCATTACTAAGGGGTAACCAAAACTGTCTGAAACGATTCACCGGTTGGAAGGGCAGTGTGACAGGGAGGTCCTGTTGGCCTTACCGTCTATCGAACTGCAGAGTGGAACTAAGAAGTGTTAGTGGCTGAGGCCACTCAACGCCTCAGTGAGAGGAGCTCTAACTCAGAGAACGTGCATGATGGTTGAGAGGATGACTCAAATATCAGGAGACCCCTCGGGGCGAGACATGAGTAGCGCGTCCTGGCCGGGGCAGCTTCTCGAAGCAAACACCCAGCGAGGACATCAGGGAGTACACCACAAAGCATTATACTCCAAAAAATGCTGAACCCGAATGGAGGACTGTTACATCCATATACTGTATGTCCTTGTGGGAGTGCCTGTGTTCTTGCGCTCTCTCTCTCTCTCTCTCTCTCTCTCTCTCTCTCTCTCTCTCTCTCTCCCCTTTCTCTATCGATCTCTTAGGCCGCCTTCCTTGACTGCTGATTGGCTCATGATGCTGTCAGTCATCATTAAGCAACTTGACGCCGACCTATCCGCTGCTGGTAAAGTTTTTGCCGGCAGATAAAAGGACACGGAGAGACGTGAATGGAGACCTCTTTTGCGCCCTGATTTTTGCTGTCTTTTTACTAGTTTTTGACTTGCTTTATTTGTTTATGCCAAAATACTTGGTGTTTTTGTTCTGACATTTTTGATCCTTTCCCCTTTTTTGATTTGCCATTTCGTTTGGTTATTTTGTTACTTTGTGACTCGGATGGCGTTGCTCTTTGAGCTTTGATGAGCTTATGCTCTATGACATTTACCCTTTACTCAAGAGGAAGGTGGATAGGGAAGATGTCGTGCGACTTCCATTGTGCAACATTTAGGTAACTTTATCTGTTTAGACACCATAGGTAAGAGGTGAACGCCACCCCCTGTAAGTTTCATTGTTATTAGTTGAGAGTAGGGA